AATAAATATCTATAGTTCTTAAATACTTTTAGAGTTTATTTTAAAATTTTTATTTAGTAGTACTATATCTTTATTACAATTTCACCGGCAATAACAACATTTTAAGGATATTTTACAAAATTATAACACAAATTCATACTCTGATAGATCATCAAACAAGTAAAGGTTTTTTGGATGACTGAACTTAAAGTGTTTATTGTATTTGACTTTTACTCGTTTGTCACTGGTTTTAATAATAATAAAATTTAAGATATCATTAAAGTCATAAAATAAGTTTGTTTAGAGTTAGTTCAGGGATCTAATCATACCTTTCAGATATTGTCACAAACATTCAATTTTTCAAAAGTTTGATTTTATATTTAAGTTTATTTTTTCCCTTTACTCTAGACTTTCTTTATAGTCAATGAATTGATAGCACAAAACAATTGCTATTCATTGGTTTAGACGTGAATTCTCGTAAATATCTGTATAGCATATCATTGTTGTTATATATAATATACTGTATATATAAATATAATCGGTCACAAAATAGGTGAGACTCGTTTTTTTTGTGTAATAACTTCTTTATATATAAAAAAATAAAATTGAATAAAAAATTATTTTATTTCAAACTATGGTTTTTTTGTCACAGATATTATGTATAAATATTTACAATATGATATTCAATAAAAAAAATATCATATTCACTATTGTGCTAAAACAAAATTATACTGGGGTGAAATATTATTAGACATGTTTATTACATTTATAATAATAATAATAATAATAATATTTTAATAAAATAATTGATAAACAGCAAAAAATCAAAATTTAAATATTATATTAAATAAAATGTCATTATAATGATATTTTATGAAAACGTTAATTTAATAAATTTTATATTTAAAATAAAACAATATATATATATATAATAGTTGCTTAATTAAACTATAATAAAAACAATATTATTATTTTTTTATGGAAACAGTTGTCAATTACTAAACTAGTGATAAAGTGTCCGATGGGTCAACATTTTATTGATATCACTTCACAGCACATAAGGCTTATCGTTCATATTTTTTCATTACTTTAATTATTGACAAATATTTTTTCATTAAAAAAGTAAAATTTATTGTATTTTGAAAATAACTAAAAAAAGTTATGCGTTATTCACTTACTTAATTAATAACTAACAAATAACTTTAGTAATCGCTATATTTAAATAAATAAATGACAAATAAATAATTTAATAATTAGTTTTTTGGAGGATTGAAATAGTTGTGTACTTTTTTAAAACTAATTATTCAAAAAAAATAAATAACTGAAATGAAAACATTATATTAAATAAAATGAAGTGATAGTCAAAAGCAAAGGTAATAATACAAACACCATATGTCTGTATATTAATAATATATCAATTTATTGACTAAATTGATTGAATCGCCGAATAGGTAGTATAGCTGTCCTTCAAAAATGTAACTACAAGTGCTCAAAAACATGAGCCTCCGTGGCGCAATTGGCTAGCGCGTTCGGCTGTTAACCGAAAGGTTGGTGGTTCGAGCCCACCCGGGGGCGGTATGTTTTTTGTTTAGTATAATACATTTTTTTGTTTAATTTTAATTTTAGTTTCAGTTTATTAGTTAGTTATACACTTCAAAACTTTATTTCATTAGTTATTTTTTTTAATGTTTACATTTATTATTCAATGAATATTTTCACTGATTTATATTCTAAAAAAATACTTTTTTGAAATTAATTCTAAAGCAAATTAAAGTACAATTTATAAGATATATAATAATTAGTATTAGACATTGTAAAGTATTATAATATTTGTAATACATTTTATATATTAAAAATAAACATAATTTTAATTATAAATATTTTTTATTTTAAATAAAAATAAACACTTAAATTCTTTTATTAATTAATTAAGTTATTTTTAAAAAATAATAAATAAATAAATAATTAATTAATTATAGAATTAATATTTAAATTATTTTAAGAAAATTAGTTTCCAAGTTTTTACAGTACTTATTATTGTATTATTAATTTAAAAATACCGTAATATTATTTATAAAGTTTAATACAGTATTATTATTATCTTAATACATATTAATACTATAGTTTGTTTCACTATCAATAGATGTCAGTACATTAATATTCAATATTATTAACTTTACAGTCAGTTAAATCAATTTCAAATTGTTACAAATATTTACTGAATATATAATAGATATTATAATAAATACAATATAATTCATTGATATAATATAATTGACATTAATATAAGTCATAAAATTGAAATACATTGAATTAAAATTATTTACTAGTAATGTCATAAAGTCTTAATATACCGTATATTGTAGTATGTATTAGACATATACTGTATTCAATATAATAGTGTTATCATATATGTTATTGTCATTAAGCTTTATAAAATAAAATTGCACAAATAAACTAGTACAAATTAAATAAGTAAGAATAAGTTTATCTTGATCATTGTTTGATATAAATTAAAAACTTTTAAATATCTGTTATGTTATATACTGTATATTAGACATTAATTTAAAAAATCTATTACTGATAGCATTAATGGCAATGACTTGTATAGAGTAATAATATTATAGATTCTATATTTCTAATAGCTTTGGAGTATTATATATATATATTAAATATAATTATTATATAATACATAACTTAAATTATGTAATGTAATAGATATAGTATAAAATCTAAATAATTATAATATTTAAAAATTTAAAAAATAATTATATAACAAATTGCCTTATTGCATTTATTGCCTTTTTACAAATATTTTTAAAAATATTATAATAATAGAATTAAATGTTATTGTATACTATAGGATATGTTTAAAATCTAAATATTCAGTGAAATTAATATTTTAAATTAAATAGTACAATATAATAAAATTAACATGGTAACAATCAACTTCTTTATAAATTTTTAAATACCATAATTTGTTATAAAAATATAGTTTTATTGTTATTTTTTGATAATTGAAAATATTTAATAAAAGTATGAGTTTTGTCGGAAAATACGATTTTAGTCAACATTTCTTAAGCGATAACAATAATATATTATTGTATTGTATTGTTGAGTGTTAGGGTCACACTTGAGTCTAATAATGGGTCACAGGAGTCAAGTATTTGGTTATATTGTGTTTTGTGTGCTTACAAAAAGTTTTTTTTTGTAATATTTTGTCTATGATTTAAAAATATTTTAACAAAATTTAATGATTTACAAATATAATATTAACTAAATTAAAATATTGTAATAAATACAATAATAAATACTGAATATTCTAATATTTTTATTTTATTGTTTATTAGTAATGCTGTAATTAATTAAAATTGTTTTTGAAACATAAATCATTTGCCCAAACAATAGATATAATAATAATATATGTTTTAAAAGAGTCTGACTTTAAATAAATTAGGTTTTGATAGAAGAGAGAGGAAATAGCACTTATGATAGACAGTCTCTAATAGAAAATTTCTATCATATATGAGATGACTTTTTGTGAGTCATTGCCTCCAACTATAATAATACTTATATTATCAAAACATATCAATACATATCAATAAAAATATACTCTTTATAGTATATACAGTAGTTTATACAATATAAAATAAAATGTACGATTCATTAATGATAAATACAGTATACATTTACAGTGGTATAGTACAGTGTTTACATTTACAATATGATATACATTACTGTAATTTACTTTTTGCTTTAAATTGTATTAACTTTCAAGTCATTAGAGTTATATAATCTAATAGAGACTCTTTAGAAAATGAAACAATCATTTTTAGAGACATTTTAAGAATATTTTTTAATTGTTTGAATGAATTGTCAAATTAGTGATGATATATATATATATATATATATGACAATTATTTTCAATTACATAAACAAGTTTTAGATACAAGTGTTAAATTATTAACAGTTGCGGGAAAAAGAGTTAAATGTAAAGTTTATAAAACTTATGTCATCATATATTTTATATTATTATATATACAGTATATTTATTGAGTATAGAATGTTATATAATAAATGTATAACTTTTATAAAAATGAATAATATAAGGAATGGTATGTAGAGTAATATAAGTACTGTACGTACAGACAGAGTAATATATATATAGTAGTGGTGAGCCTTCTAAGCCCTCCTGTGAAAGCCTTCTCCGTTTGCAATAATGTTTGCAGTGGTATATGTAGGGGACGGTTGGGGTATCGTTGACTTCGATAGGAGGTTCTGATCAAAGCATTGACTATGTTGGACGCCCTTAGCCTTTGTATGGATGAGTTGAATCACATCAGAAATGGATTGTTAGCATCATATCATCAGTTCTCATAAATGGGAGATGAGAGGAGAGCACAGGCAGATCACAGGCAGAGAACGGGCATAATATCCCCTCACGAAAAGGCGGAATAACTGAAGGCCTGCTTAGCGGGAGTTCACAACACACTTGTGCTTTACATACTGTATGACTCTGTGTTGGCCCCCCTTTCCAAATGTGCTCTCATTTATCATAGGTTTCCCCGACTCGATGACTGTGCCGATCCAATCCCTTTCCTTCACTATGAGTATCAGCGCTTCCAAAATGACCAATCTTTGAGAAGTGATCACTGCTTGTTCCAAGTGCTTGAATCCCCATTTCAGTCACCATTCAATAGTAAATTGTCCCGAAGGGAGACCCTAACACCAGCACCGATATCCTGAATAGCCTAACAAAACAATAACACATATAAAGAGTATATTTAGTCGTAACATATCTTCTATAATAATCATCTCTCAAATAAATATTGAAGTCTAACACCACTCCAACACCACTCCAACGCCACTCAAAGTGAACATCACTTGTTCTTTGCATTCAAAAGTGAATCACAAGTTTATCACACCTTTTCATTATCTATCAGTGCTTTTATATGAGATATTTGTACAAATATTTTATACTTTAATTGCAATTCATTGCAACAAACTTTTAATATTAAGTGATGGCCTTTAAAGAAGTATGTCGTCGAAGCAATTTATTCCGTCCCTGGGATTCGTCGGTTGCCAACCATATTAATGGTACACAACTTTCAACAACAACATTACCACCATCTGACTTATCATCGACACCAGCAATAAGCAAATCTACAGTCAAATATGAAACAAATTTAAAACTCAATTTATTTAAAAAAGATATAAATAAGAAATTACATGATATTTATTCGCCAATCAAAGATTCATCACTCAGTGATATCAACAAAACTCATCCTAATATTTGTCCACCGATACAGACAATACCTCAATGGCCTCAAAATATTCATACATCAGCAGCACATTTACCAATGATTGCTAAACATAATCATCATATGCTACACCATCATCCATCTCTACCATTTGGTGATCCTATGTTTTATGAACAACCGTTTCTAAATGTAACGCCATTTCCAGAACAAGGATTGTCTAACACAGCATCCAATGCCATAAGCAGACAATGGAGACAATTGCAAAACCATAAAAAACAAAGACCTAAACGATTTCAATGTCCACACTGTAGGGTCTCCTTCTCTAATAATGGTCAGCTCAAGGGTCACATCAGAATACATACCGGTATTTATTATATTTTTATTATAAAAAATTATAGTATTAATTGAAATTATTAATTTTAAATATATTTAATGTTATCAAATATGTTTTTTGATAAATTACAATATACTGTACAGTTTATTATTATACTGTAGTTATTTTTATATTAGTGTAAGATTTTAAATCCCTTTAAGACTATCTTTTAGAAAGAGACAATTATAATTAAATTTTGTGTTAAATATAAATAATAAAATAATAATTATTATATGATTATATCAGGTGAGCGTCCATTTGCTTGCGATCACCCAAACTGTGGCAAAACTTTTACCCGAAATGAAGAGTTGACGCGTCATAAGCGCATTCACACCGGTTTGAGGCCTTTCTCTTGTAGTGTTTGTGGCAAAAGATTTGGTCGTAAAGATCACCTAAAAAAACACGTTAAGACTCACCAAAGGACACCATCGGTTCCCATTCATATACCACTTCCAGTGTCAATGCCTTTTCATTTCTTTGGTTCAGTTAATGGATGGGTTCCTCATTTGTGATATCAATTGCATTAATAGAATCACTAGAAATATTTTTTATTATATTTTTCTATTTAAAATTTTTATATATAAATATATAGTATTTTGTAAATAATTTTTGTTTATTCTGAAAACTAATCACAAAATACTATATCAATTGTAATATAAATCAGTATTTAAATAACATTTAATTTAGTGTATATATTAAATACATTATAATATCAATAATAATATACTGTATTTTTATGCTTAGCCTGTATAGTACAATGTATACGGTATTTTAAATATTTTTTTTACCTATATTTGCTATTGTTTTAAAATTAACGTAGATGGTATATTTTAATGACCTAATCATATATTTATATATTATAATGTATATATATATATATATATATTTATTTATAAATATATTTTATAAAATATAATTGATTATAATTATTAATTAATAATAAAATAAAATATAGTTAAATATATAATTGTATTATTTCTTGTAGAAGTATGAATGTATGTATACTATACAATATATAGTACATTGTGTACAGTCTTATTATTTTATGCATTATTATTATTATGAATATTTTCATATATAGTATTGTAAAATGTTATTTCTGGTTATCTGTCAATCAGATCACAACCAAAAACACTAACATTTTAGTCCATTTATATTATTGTTGAGACACACTATCGGCGGTAATGTCGGCTTTCATTCAGGGATTCATTAGAGCGAAACGATTAGAGTAATGTTAACAGTTATTTCACAACTAACCATTCATTTGAGTCCCGGTTCCCTCACTCTAAACGCTCATAATATAGTGAGTATGTAATGTAAAATGCAATATAGAGTATACCAACAGTTATGATATGGCTTATGATATGACTGCCTCCAAAAATTCATAACATATTATAATAAATGTTTACATTATATACACTTACTTTTTCCATTATAGGCTATTTACAAATGTTTGAAATATTTATTTAAAAAAAAAAAATAATTTTCTAAATATAACAATTTATCTATAATTTATATTATAATACATAATTAAATGTATGATTCATTTAGTCATTAGTGAGTCAGAACTCATGAAGTAATAAACAATTAAAATAATTATTTAAGTATTTAATATTAAATTAATATTTTATACATTTTCCGTATAAATACTGTAAAATCTAACAAATTTAAAACTGTTAGTATTATAAAGTTAGACTTTAATAACAATAACATCGAGTTATTTGTATATATTTTGTTCAAAAAATAAGTCTTTTGAATGAAATGTTTAGTGTAGGAAACTTCCGCCAAAAGTGTGATTCAAAAAAAATATTGATAGTATTTCCACAAGTTTTTAGTAGTATTACAACAATTAATCAAAAGGTAAAGAAAAATATAATTTCTGTAAAATATGAGTTAAAAACCACAAAATGTGTCTTTACTTTTGGCAATACATCGATTGGCAAAACATCCCATTCATTGCTATGACAGGCAATGAGCGATCTATTAGTGATCGATGAGATGGTCTCTCCCCGAGTGCTGTACTACTTGTGTATGTGTTTACAGCTATCCATAAATCCACTCAATTCTCGGGTTATTATAATAAATGAAATATCAGTTCAATTTAATTCTCAAATCCTTTATTTCCAAAACAATGACTAAATTTTCATAGTTATAACCAAAACATTAGATTATTTTAGTTTTTTAAAAATTTTTATTTAAAGTTATATTTTGAATTGAAGAAAATATATATAGTATATGATATACTGTAGTTAAATGTTTGTAAAATGTTATATACATTATTATTGATACGACAAAAAACTCAATATTAAATTTAAAATTTAGTCAAACAATTTGATTATATTGTAAATACACTGTAATATTGATATAGTTTTTGCCTGACTTTGACTGAAAAGTATCTAAAAGTAGTAAAAATGAAATCAAGTGGAAATTTATTGAAAATTTTTAGGTGCAATACATTTAATAAATAATACATTTTAACATTTTGTTGTCCATTGCCTGAAACGACTATAACTAATACCTTTAGATTGATCTCAAGGACAATAGTATTGGATATAAATGAAGGGTAAGAGTATAGAGTAACTGATAGTCAGTCACTCTTATGTATTATGTATTTAAAATGTGTTGAAAACAACGATACGGCTATTTAGCTGATTGACTGCCAATGCTTTGGGCTAAATGTTATTGTCTGTGAGTGACTGTGAGTGATATGAAAGACGGTCCAGAAAGCGGTCTATTAATGATCAGTGAAGTGGAGAAATCGCGACATCTTTGTCGTGTAGGCGGGAGTGGTCTTTAACGGGGCATTTGCTTGTTGTAGGCGGTGATGCCGGTGCTCACCAATGCACCAAAATATAGCCTACCATTACATACCATTACCAGTCATTATTCTTACCAAACCTTTTCTTTTTAACCCAAACTGACATTTCTCACAAAAATAACTTTTTCGTCAACTATATTGTGTTTTTCTCAACAGTTTGCTTACCATTAAAGTAGATTTAATAGATATTATTTGCGCAAAAATATATGTTGTATATATTTTTATTTTTTAATCGATAACTATATAAAAATTTAATATATATATATATATATATATAATTATTTTGTAGTAATCTATAATTTTTTAAAATCTTATTAAATATTTAACATTGGAATAAAAATTAGTTAAAATGAATTTCAATAGAAAGTGAAAGTTAAAAGAGATTTGTGAACCAAAAGTTAGTTCAAAAAGTATAATAATAATAATACTGTACTCTGTATTCAGTGATGGGAACACTTAAAATGCTAAGTCAACCAAACAATAGTTACATCAATAGTCGCCATATAAACCATATATATTATATGATATTTTTGTGTCCCAATCCTTACACATCAACTCTTTTTATTGTTAGAGACTTTTTGTAACTCTCATTCAATTTATTATAAGACCAAAAATACCTTTAAATTGATCTAAATATAGTATTATACGAATATATTTATGAAATACAAAAAAAAACCAGTGAAATAGTATACAGTATTTTACGATTTCACATGAAATTTATATACAAAAGTTTTATACTTTTTTGTACAAATGTTTTATGAATTTAAACTTAAGTGAAATACCATTTTTCTGTATTATATAATATGTAAATTATTTAATGTAACATTATAAACTAATAGCTAATACGTTATTTTTTAATCCGTTAAATTGTGACAAATTTTTAACAAAATAAATTAGAAATTAATTTGTTTGATAGTATTGTGTAATTTTACTCACTTTTAATATTAATATTTTATTTGTATAATAAGCTTACAGTAAATATTTTTGTTAAAATTCGTATACATTTAAACTGATAGCAATTATTTAAAAATTATTATTTATTAAAAATGTTGTTTAAGTAAATCTAAATTTTATAAATAATGAATGTATTAAATGATTGCATATTTTTCATATGAATTGATCTCAAATCGATTCTCAATAAAATTAACTTAGAATAACAAAGTAATAAATCTTTGTTTACCGTAAAAAATATTTAATTCACATTTTAACCAATTTTTTCATAATTTAATAGAAAAGTGAATACAATAAAAATATTTCAATTCAATATTTTATAGTTTTTATTCACTATATACAGTATGACAACACTTTTGTATTGAACCGATAGGGAACTGAAATATTGATTTGTGAATTCAGAAAAGTCAATACCTATGGAGAATCCCAATAGTTTTGTAAAAAAAGTGTACTAAAAATTCACAAAATACGGCTTTCATTGCTCTCTCTCTCTCTCTCTCTCTCTCTCTCTCTCTCTCTCTCTCTCTCTCTCTCTCTCTCTCTCTCTCTCTCTCTCTCTCTCTTTCTCTCTCTCTTTCATTGATAAATTATATGATAAATAGTGTACTAATGTTTGAACTCTATATATGTTATAGTATTTAGTATGGTCACATATACTGTATATATATATATATTGAAATGTTGGACACCATTCATACTCTGGTCACGGTTGTCATCACTGGTAACTGTGCTAAGAGAGTACAACAACTCTCTTAATGTTACTTCTCTATTGCCGAACTGTGATCTATGACTCTCCCAAAGTACTGTCCTTTTTGTGTCACACTATATATTATTTTTCTTCGACAGTATTTCAACCTAAGAAATGAATATATTTTGAGAGAGAGAGAGAGAGAGAGAGAGATAGAGAGAGAGAGAGAGAGAGAGAGAGAGAGAGAGAGAGAGAGAGAACTGTTGCTTTAAAGGTCTCTCTCAATGTTTCTTCAATATGTTATTTTTAAGGCACTCCTACATTGAAACAGTGATGTCGGGTCTGAATCAGACATTTGCCATGAAATTTGGTATACATTTTATACAAGTGTTTGTCTCATAAGTGGTACTTGAATCGTGAGTTTTAGACCGTGACTGTAGTCAGTATTTAGTTGACTGTACCTCTCATTGAGTGCTGTTTATCGGTGATAAAGCACTCAAAGCAGGCGGAAAACGACAAACTATAACATATATATGTCTTCATAACGATTAGATCCGCTCTTTTTATAACACGATTATACACACACTTTATATACTAAACAATAATATCAAGTTTGTCACTAAATATCAATATATTGTGTCTCAAACACAACTTCACACATTTCAGTGGCGTATTGAACACAACTTTAAATTTTTGTAATTATATTAGAATTGCATTCAAATAATATTATTTTATAAAATATAAATCAATAATTTTAAAATATATTATAAATAATTGTTTGACAAATATAAAATTAAATTCATTTACTTAAATATTAGTCAATTGAAAAAATAAGTATTCTTAATACATATTTCTATAATTTCAATATACAGTTTTCAATAGTTTATAATTTAATTGAATATTGAATAATATATAAATTATATACAATAAGTATAAAAATGTTAATATTTAATTAAAAAATTTAATTGTGTGATACATAAATTATATACAGTAATGTTATAGTTTAATATAAAAATGAAAATTGATATTACAGTACAATTATATACAGTAAGAAA